CTGCGATGGATGATGAGCGCAGACACTCCAAGAACATCTACGGCTAACAGCTACGTCATAAGAAGCACGCAAGCATATCGCCTCGGCCAATATATACGATGCATACTGTTGTGGTATCGCCAACGAGATCTGTGCGAACGACCACGAAGGAGCATGACATGATCCATCAACGCTATGGATCCAACCGATAACGCATCGTGGCGTGATGGAAAACTCGTCATTTCGAGCGCAGGACGTCCAATAACAGTCTGGTAGCAGTTGCAATCGCAGTGTGCTTTGGCACCAAGTATGTAGACGACGCGCCTCGCATTGCAAAGAAAGAAGCTCCTCTCGCGAGCTCACGACCCAGCACCCGAAGCGACCGAGCCTGTGCAGAGCGCCATTTTGAAGAACACGCACAATTACGTGATTCCGAGCGTTGGCGATGGGACGCCGCTGGCTACACTGTACTGGACACTGTACTGGCCTCCAACTCTGGCGTTTGGGCTCCAACGTCGCACCAACGAATCGAAAACATCCATGCGCGATAATTGAACAAACCAAGATTCCACGTGACGGGGTTCGAATTTCGATGGCGACGGTTCTCGGATCACGCGTGTCGGCAGCCAACGATGCGATGGCAAGCAGCAGCGGCGGACAGATCTGACGACCCGGGTTGGTAACCTTGGCTCCATTTTCCCCGCGACGGGCGAACGTTATGTTGGCAGCTGGCGTGTTATGTTGCAAGTTGACGCTGTCCCACCCACAACGTAGTGCCCGTGTCGCAGTCTGTTGGTCCGAGCTCACTCACCACAGCTTTGCATCGCGCACGCGCACACTGCAAGCTCGCGTCACCGTTATCGCTGGCCCATTGCGACTCGAGTCGACCTGTCGACTAACTAAACCAAGACGACTTGGGAGCTCTGGCCAACACGCCGACCACCCGTTTGGGTCACACAATCCGTCGAGATGCGATGACGTGTGGCAACGCCGACCTAAATTTGCGACCCCACGAATAGGTCGCCTCACGCATTGTCGCGCGCGGGATGACGCGTGTCGTCCCGCTCAAATGGCATTTGCAATTTAATGGAATATTGGGCGGGAACGCGCGACCGATGCTCCGCGCGCCAAAAGGACCGGGGCCGGCCCACATGTGTTTACCGGTTGGCGAGAAATACTAACCACACACTGGCTCCCACGTGGTGCAAAGTGCGCTCGTAATCGCTCATTATAGCCAATGAAAACGACCCGAAGTGGGCGCTTGATCTCATGATCAATCCCATCAACACGTTTCAGGAGAAACTCCTTGAAAGCAAGCGTGCGAGATGGGCCTGCCCAGAGTTCCATACAAAGATACAGCTATCTACCGACAAGGCGTTTCGAAGAGTTTTCGCAATATCGTTTGAAAGGAATTGCCCCCGCACGGGCGATGGCACCAGCTGGGCATTGCCGAGTTTGCCGACTCACGCTCAGATCTACTTTCTTCGACTACTACCACAATGAGCATCCCTGTCTTCCTGCAGAAGACCTTTGACATGCTGGGCTGCTGCGCGCCCGAGATCGCCGCCTGGAGCAACAACGGCCGGTCCTTTGTCGTCAAGTCGCCCAAGGCCTTTGAGAAGACGATGCTGCCACTCTACTTCAAGCACAACAACTTTGCCTCGTTTGCGCGCCAGCTGCGCTTTTACGGCTTCGACAAGACCAAGAAGCTCGAGGTCCACCCCGCGTCCGAGCTCGGCTCGAGCATGTGGGAGTTCACGCACGCCAAGTTCCGCCGCGACGACCCGGAGAAGATGGCGTCAATTCGCCGCAAGACGTGCACTGAGCCCAACTCCAAGTGGGACAAGGAAGACATCGATATGCTCAAGAGCAAGATGACGACGCTCCAGACGCAGCTCTCGACGCTCAGTGACCAGATCAGCCTCCTCACGTCCATGGTGCACGAGTACGCCGAGGCCGTCGACGACGACGAGATGTACATGGCGCCCACCCCCATCGCCGACGCCACATCGTCCATGGTCAACGACATGCTCGAGATTGAAGCCAGCGACCTCTACGCCGAGTTTGACTATGATTTTTTTGGCTCGTTTGCGACCGACAAGGCCATGGGATTCGAGCCGCTGGGCCTCCCTCTCGAGTCATGAACACTGCAACTCCACGACCGCACTTGACGACGCCTTCAGGCCTTCTATCTCATCCGAATATGAGGCCGCCCACCCGACCTACCTTCCCCCAAGACTAGGTCGTCTACAAGGTGTACACATTTGCATAGTCTAAATCAACCAACCTGTCTTCGTTGTATTATCTTCCATCCACCGCTGCACCTTATTATCTCTCGCCACTGCAGAAGTTCGAGCACCCAAGCGCTCCATATTGCTTGGCGCATGGAGGCAGGAAGACGCTGCGAGTCCATCATCACAGCTCTCATCATCGCCAAGACGCAAGCGTCGAAGAAGAGAAGGAAACAGGACGTAGGACAGGCGGCTTCGATCGCTTCAGGAACGTACGGTGATGCAGTGCTTGCAACCGTAAACGCGATGCTTACGCGCGCCAAGTGGCGTGCAAATAGCCGCATTCGATTGAAAACCGTCGAAAGCACCAGCCTTTGCGGAGTGTATGTACGACCTTCACTCACTCGCGCCCGACGCACCAGCATGGACATAACGAATCACGGGACCGCGATCACGCAAGCGCCACGTGGGTTCGTGGGCCGGCCCGTGAGTTATCCGTCCGAGCCTCGGAGCGTTCGCGAAGCTGCTGGCTTTTTGGCGGGCAAACCACGCTTAAGATTCGTGAAAATAACGAAAGAAGCTGCTGCGATGGCCGCCACGACAGTGTACTCATACCAATTGAGAGGCTGTTGCATCGATACCGGTCAGCGTTCTGTGCCATTGTAGGTCAGCTTTGTCGGTCGAGAAGGAACTACCAGTAGTTGCTGAAGCCCGTAAAATGTGCCAAGGGTACCCACAACGTAGGTGGCCTGTCGGTGCACAGATGGGCAACAGCGTAAGCTCTATTCCAAGGATTCGTGTGCCCTGGTTCTAGGCGTCACGTGTCCTGATTTCAGCCCAAGAGTGGGCGGCCAATCAAACGCATTTGTGCATTTGTCCTGCCAATCTTGTTGAAGTTGCTCGTGGCGCGCACGGTCGTCCTGCATTTCGGACTTGTCCGATTCGAACCGAATTTGAAACCAACAACTAGGATAGATCCTATAAATGGGTGAAATGGGACATTGACGCCGATGGACTTGCTCCCAAGTAGCGACGACGAGAGCGACGGCGGACTGCCGCTGGCCCGTAGCGCCGCGTCGCAAGCTGGCGTCGACCGACCGATCCCTCAGCCTCGGCCTGCCGCGCTAAGCACGTCCGCGCCATGGACACCCGCCGAGAAGAAGCCCATGATGTCGGTCTTCGAACGGCTCCTGGCGCTCAACCCTCGCGCGAGCAGCCTTCCCGTCTTCCAGAACGCAGCCAAGGCCACCCCGCCGCCACGAGCCGAGCCCAAAGAACCAGCCTCACAAGATGCCGTAGCGGCCAAACCATCGTCATCCGCGCCTGCAACGGTCGACTGCCCTGCCACCGACCTGGCGATACCCTTGCAGTCGACAAAGCGACCCGCGACAGGCCATCCTCGTGAGCCGCCACCGTCTACCACGCGACCGACAGCCTCAACAGAAGCGGACAGAGACGCATGGACAATCGCATACCCATCGTTGCCTCCGACGCCCGACGCCGAGCACACGCCGCAGCAAGTCGTCGACATCCAGCCGACGTACGTCTCGCCGTTCGGGCTCCATACGACCAAGCCCGTGCAGCGCCATGCCGCAGCCCCGCGAACGCAGCTGATCACGCAAAACGCGCTGCTCGACGCCTTGCAGCGTGCCGAGGCGGCGCCGGGACCGTCCGACGGCAACTTGAGCGACGACGACGACTGGCTTAGCGACGCTGCGCCCGTTGCCCCCGATACGTCGCGCCCACGTGCCAAGCCAGCGACCACTGCCTCTGCGTCGGACGTGGCGCCCAAGCGAAAGAGCCAGCCACTGTCGACGGCGTCCGCACCCAAGGTAGTGAGCACTCCCCATTGACATTGAGCTTTCACCATCCTTACCTGCGTAGCGCCGGCAATCAAGCACCGGAGTCAAAGATACGGTCAATGCCAACGACGAGGAGGATGACGACGACGAGAGTACTTGGCCTCGGCTGTCGCCGCCCGAGGTAGCTCGATACTACCTCTCAAGCACGACTCAGGTAGGTGGAATAGGGAGCGATCGACGAGCCACTCGTGCTACTCGACGCCCCAAACGAAGTCTACTCGCGCCGCGTCCAAGTCCCCAGCCGCCTCAACCGGTTTCTCCAACCGTACCAGCGCGAAGGTGTCGCGTGGATGTTCCAGGCCGTCGTTGAGAATCGCGGCGCGATTCTCGGTACGATTTGTTCAAATTTGCTGAAAAGACAATCTGTCTTGATTGATAGGCGACGAAATGGGTCTTGGCAAGACGATTCAAGTCATTGGTCTCCTCTCGGCGCTGCTCTTCAAAGACGGTGCGAACAATAAGCGTCCATTTCCATACAAATATCTATGACTCAGGCACATCGAGCGACAAGGAAGCGTACCGCACTCGTCTCCGGAGCGCGTCACGTCGCGAGCCGGTCGAGTTTGACTTGAACGGGATACCTCCGCCGATCCTCGTACGTCCGATTTTTGAGCTCAATTTTGGAGTTTTGGTGGTCAAAACGAGATAGATTGTTGTGCCGGCGTCGCTCCTCATGAATTGGGAGCTCGAACTCAAGCTCTGGATGTGCTGTCGCCCTGTGATTCTGAACGGCAAACGACAGGAGCGAGAGGCGATCTTGGCGTCCCTGTCTCGGTACGTCTGCATACTTGCATGGATATCGACGGACGCCGACGCACGTCTGCCCACGGCGCATGCCGCTCTTGTGTGGTGCAGACTGCGGCGAACTTGTCCAAAAGCAAAGAACCCCACGAGTTTAAGTCGGACCACGCCAGCGCTGTCGATCATGACAGTTTTGGTGTGGGAGGAAGAGACCACCGGTGTACGGACGAAGCATTTGTCTGCGCAAGGGTTCGAACGATGCGATGCGCAACGTCACGACGCCGATGGCACCGAGCTTGTGCCATTGGCGCCTGCTACCGTCGTCGCACCTACATTTTTCCTTTTTTTACATTTTTTGCATTTGTCGACCTCGTATGCATGTCTCATATTGATCGAAATTAGCGGGACCCACGAGATTGTCATTTGCAGCTACGACATTTTAAAGGCCAACTTGGCGCAGATCCAAGCCGTGCCGTGGTACCTCATAGTTCTCGACGAGATGCACTGCTTGAAGAACCCGGAATCGCAAGCCACGAAAGCCGTCCAGGCACTTTCATGCAAGCGCCGGCTCGGGCTCACGGGCACCCTCATGCAGAACGACACGGACGAGCTCCACTGCCTCCTCAACACAATCCACGAAGGCTCGGTAGCCCCTCTACTTCTCGCTCATAGTGTACAATGTGTCTTGTGTAGCTCGGCAGCGTGAGCGAGTTTCGGTCCTACTACGCCGACGACATCAAATTTGCGCGCAAAAAATCGGCGGCGCCCGAAGCCGTCGAGCGCGCGCGAGCCAAAGAAAAGCAGCTGCGCGACTGCCTCGTGCCCTACTATCTCCGCCGCGACAAATCGTCTGCACTGTTTTTCATTTGTATGGGATTTCTCACAAGAATTTTTGTTGTAGGATCCACCCGGACTTTACGCGAATTCAAAAATTCGACAAGATTGTGTTTTGCGAGCTCACACCGCTCCAGCGCGCTGTCTACGACCGCGTGATTGCGTCGCCCGACTTTAAAGTGCTCATTACCGGCGACGACCCGTGCGACTGCGGCCGGAACAAGACCCGGCGGCGGTGCTGCTACGTCTCGGGGGGCGTCCTGTGGCAAAAGCACCATCCTGATGACGAAGCCTGTCAAGCGTGCCCGGCGTGTATTCAGTTTCCGTGCATTGCCCAGGTCGACAAAAGAGAGCGACGAGCTTCTTCTTATGGCGTTCGATGTAGCTGCTCAAGCTCTCGAACCACTTGGACCTCTTGCGCGTCAATGCACGAGACCCGGACGACGTCCAAGCAGCGACCAAAGCCTTTGCGACTGTCGCATTTGGCACCGACCTCGTCCGTCGTTTTGTCAAGGTTTAGGGTTTCGGAATTCAAAGTTATGGAATAGGACAAAATTGGGCTCTACCAAGCACAAGGCCTCTTTGAGAAGATGAACACGGCGCTCTGCGGGAAAATGGTCGTACTCGAGAAGCTCCTCTCGATCTGGATGCGCAAGCACGAGAAGGTTCTTGACAAAGATGAGTTATAGTCGAATGCGGTCGATATGTAGGTGCTGCTCTTTAGTCGCAGCGTGCGCATGCTCGATATTCTCCAAGCTGTAAGACATATCGACGGTGCTCGTCTAAAGCTATGGTCGCCTAGTTTTTGATCTCGAAAGCTTGCGCGTACGTGCGACTCGACGGGTCGACCAAGGTCGACGAGCGGCTCCAGCTCGTCCAGCGCTTCAACCGCGACCCGACGCTCAGTGTGTTTCTCATCTCGACCAAAGCCGGCGGTCTCGGCCTCAACATTACGAGCGCGACGAACGTTGTCATCTTTGATCCGAGCTGGAACCCGGCGCACGACTGCCAGGCGCAGGACCGCGCGTACCGCATCGGGCAGACGCGGGACGTCAAGGTGTTTCGGCTCATTACGCTCGGCACGATTGAAGAGATGATCTACGCCCGCCAGGTTCCTTTTGCATCGACTGTAGGACAATATTGTACTCAGTCCCCTGTAGATATACAAGCAACAGCTCACCGACACGACGCTCAAAGGCAAGATGGGGCCACGGTATTTCGAAGCCATCATTGGCGTCAAAGGCGTATGCGACTTGATACTCTGATACAAAACTGACACGGTCGTAGCAACACGGCGAGCTCTTTGGCATTCGCAACCTCCTCCAGTTCAAGCCCGAGGGAGTGATGAAAGCCATCCAGGACAATGCAACGCTCGACGGGATCCCCATCGCCGACAACCAAGTCGACTTTTCGGCCAAGCCCGCGAGCGACTGGAAGACGGCGAAGAAGGCGGCCAAGTCCGATGACCGCGACGACGACATTGAAGATGTCGCGGAAGAGCTCGAGCTGGACAAGGAGATTAGCGTCCTCGCGCCGCAGAGCATGAACCACGACGTCGTCCTTGGCGACCAACCCAAGCGGCGACGGTCGTTTCCGCCCACAAAGACGTCCTCGGCATCGACAAGCACACTGTACACTCCCGCGTACTTGACGCCGGCGGAATAAGAGCTGACTTGGAGTTGAGACTTTGAATGTTGTTAGGGGACGGGCGTCGGGTCGGGGAAGAGGTGTTTTTGGTTGCCGCTGGACCGGCGCCGCGAGCTGTCGTACGTTTTTCGCTTGGCAAAACTGCTCTCGTCGCTGCTCTCGACGGTCGGCGCCACGGTACTCGTACTGCTGGCCAACGCCTTGGTGTAGCGCGCCTGGTTTGACTTCTTTGTCGACGCAACGTGCGTGTCGGCGATCTCGAGGAGGAGACTCATCTCGTGGCCGACCCAGCGAAGCCCGTCCTGATCTTCCTTGCGATGGAGGTTGAGGTCGCCTTGGAGTCGGCGAGACGCGGCGTAGTGCTGCGTCACGTCGCTCTCTTCGCCGAGCTTGAGCTTCTTCTCGAGGTGGCCGAGGCGCTGGTGGCAGTTGAGCTGTCCGACCACGTGGTGGCTCCACTCGTACATGGTCAGCGCCTTTGCAAAGCACGAGTGGGCGCCTAAGACAAAGTGTCTTGTCAATCAAGGACAACATTTGAAACTACTATATAGAAGTACCTCGCAGGTTGCCCTGGCGCGAGTGCACGAGGCCGATGCCTGTCATGGCGGTCGCATGGCCAATCTTGGAGACGGTCGACTTGTAGAGAATGAGCGCAATGCCAAATTGCGCCTTGGCGTCGTCGAGCTTCTTTTCGTTGATCTAGGCACATGATCCGCATGTATAAATATTGTCAAATAGACAATATGTACCAAGATGACGCCCATGAGTTTTCGCAAATTGGCTTCCACGCCGCGGAAGCCATACTGCTTGCAGAGACCGATGCCGAGCGTCGCGGCCCGGGTCGCGCCGTCATGGCGGCCCGCCAGGTACAGCGTGTGGGCAAAGTGGCACGCCATATCGGCCACGACCAGCGCGAGCTTCGGGTCCGACTTGCGGTGCTTCTTGCGGACAACTTTTTTGGGCTCGGTGGTCTTGTCGCTGCTTTCGCTGCTCAGTTCGGCGCTCGGATCGTCGGTCGTTGTCGTCACCGTGTGCGTGTACGACGATGACGGCGCGTCTTCGCTCGAGTTGACGTCCATATCGGACGCGCCGGGCAGCGCCACGAGCTCGCGCTTACTGTCGGTGGCGGCATCTTGGTGTTTCTCGAGGAAGCGCTCGAGGCACATCCAGAGGTTCGGCTCCTGAATGTCAAAGAGCACGTACGCGGCCGACGAGAACGGACCAAACGTGCCAATGTAGCGGTAGATCCACCGGATGCTCTTTTGAAAATGCTTGGCGCTGAGCTTCTCGAGGCTCTGGCCGATCACCGGCTCATTCGAGAGCCAAAGGCGCGCAAAGCTCGAGATGAATGGAAACGTCGAGTAGATGGTTGAGAGCGACAGCATCGTGGCTTGGGACACGGTGGTCTGCACCTTCTCTTCTTGGTTGGCCTTGCGACTGCGGTGCACGGACGTAAACTTGTCGCGCCCGCCCACGTACCCGCTGTAGTGCGTCCACGCGCTGAGCATGATCGGGTCCCGGACCACCTTTGCCTGCGGGTACTGCTTCTGCAAGAGCGAGAAGCGCACGAGGAGCGACGCGTGGGCCTCAAAGTCGGCTCCCAGCATCGCCTTGTAGTCCATCGCGAGGCCGCCGCCGGGAAATAGGCCCTGGAGTGCAAAGAACTTGCGCACGTCGTCGCTCGGGAGCGACGCGACCGAGACGGTGAGCGACGCCATTAAAGGTGGCAGTGACGCCGACGCGTCCGGCGCCACCATGGCTTGCGTGAGCTCCGGTAGCGTCTTGTCGAGAAGCAGCGACGCGCAGAGCGAGATGGCTTGGGGATGGCCGTCGAGGAAAGCGAGGAGCGGGTGGTCGCGCAGCTGGTCTTCGAGCGCTCCGGGCGCGGCGCAGTAGTCGGTGGCTTCTTGCAACCGTCTCGGCGCCTTCTTGACAAAGAGGCGGACGGCGTGGACGCTCGAGAGCCGGTTGAGACTCATGATCTTCTCGTCGGGCATTTGCATCGCGAGTCGCGATGTCACAATGAGTCGCAGCTGCGGACACGAGTCGAGAAGCGAGCGCAGGAAGGTCTGAACAGCCGCGCCATTGGCTTGGTACGGGTCCTCCATGTTGTCCAAAACCAAGAGGACATGGTGGAGGAACGACGAGAGCGGCGCGTGGACCATCGACGACGCCGCGTCATCGGCCAGAACGGCCGACCGGATCGACGCCTCGAGCGACTCGACGCTTTGCACGCCGCGCGCGCTCACAAAGAAGACGCCGTGCTCGTACACGTGGCGTTCGGCGAGGTAGTGGGCGACCTTGAGCGCGCACGTGCTCTTTCCTATGCCTAGTTTCAAGATATAGAACTATCAATCTATCAACCACGATAGCCTCGATGACGTACCGGGTGAGCCGCGGATCGTGAGAAGGCGCTGCGACGGAAGGGCGCTGCAGAGCGCGTGGAGCTCCATCTCTCGACCGAGAAAGACCGATGGCATGGGCGGGAGACTGCTGCTGCTCGGTCGACTCGCGTGGTGTAAATGCTGCGTCAGCGTCACGTAGGGCCCGATCGGGATTTCCGAAAAGAGCGGGCTCGACACGCACGCACAGTGTGCGTACTCGGCGAGGCCGCACGCAGCGTGGACCTTGGGGCTCTGCAGCAATAAGAACTTGTCGCTTTCGTCGGCGGCTTCGGCGCGGACGCGGGTCTGCGCGATCTCAAACGCCTGTGGGACCGTCTTGCCGTATACGAGCGCGTGGTAGAACGATTGCGCAAACAAGATGGACGTCTCGTCGAGGACGCGTTCGTCTTGGCGCGCGCAGACCACGTGCTCGACGCCAGCGCTGATAAAGACGCGGCCGACGTCGGCCGAGTGGCAGGACGAGACAAAGACAAGCTTGACGCTGGTGGACGCGCAGCCAGCGCGCAGGATCGACGAGAGGTGGTGCGCATCGACGAGCTGCCCGAGACCGGTCGCGTGCGGGTCCTCGAACACGAGAGCGTCGGGGCCGGACGCGACGACGCCGCCATGGCCGCTAAAGTGCAGCACCTGGACGTCGCGGTCGAGGACTTCGCGCAGCGAGTCGACCGTCATGACACCTTGCATTGTCCGCAGCGCGCGCTTGCTCTCGTGGAAGATCTTGTGCAAGCTCCGTTGCTCGTGGCGAATGTTGAGCTCGGGCAGCGGCAGGAGCCGGTTGTCGGGCAGGCGCAGTAAGAACGGTGACGCATGCAGTACCGCAATGTCCAAGTGCGTAATGGCCGCAGCGTCCGTGGTGCTTGCGAGCGACGACGGGTCGAGCGAGAACATGCTCATGGTGTCGCTCATGAGGTCGGACCGCATCGTCTCGGTCTCGCTCTGCTGGTCCAGCGTCGTTAGCACCGCAGAGGCCTGCTGCCGCCACTCATCGAGGAACGCTTGGTACTCGTCGAGCGATGGCAGCTGCGTCGGCGCCTCGCAGATGGCCTGGAGCAGGTCGCGGATGTCGTCGAGCACCGCCATGTGCAAGGTACGCGAGGCAACACGCAATATGCAATGCAAAACGAAACGAAAGGCCGCCGACCGGATGGTGTCCGGTTGCGTGGCCAACTCAGAGTGATGTTACCTCCGCATGGATTGGCTAAAACGCCAGGTTTCCATGCATGGGATTGGTCAATAATGTGAAATGGAGAATGTGGGTTGCCATTACCGAGCCAAAGGGTGGCGCGCTGCGGCACGGCCATAGAAATACGCACTGACGCCACAGCGTAGACTTGACAAGGATGTGACGACAACTTGTCTATGATCAGCAGAGTGCACTGGAATGGGCGGAAAGGGCGCGTGACGCGGCGGAGGGCAACCGCGCAGTTCAGGGGCCGCCAAATCCAGAACGATTTCTATCGAAGTGGCGTTTCTCGGCGAGGACGTGCGTTCAGTGCTCGCTAACGTTAGTACTGTAGGTAGACGTAATACTGCTAGTGCTGGTACCACGATGGTTGGCGTTTGCAGCGCCTTGACGGGGCTCTGCTAAACTGGCTGGCTTTGAGGGTACTGATGTCCATTGTGGAGCGGCGGTTCATGGGCTATTTACCACCAGGAATCACCGAGCGGTGGGCGATATTGTGGTAGCTTGCTGGATCATTCTCTGGCTCAAGGATTGCACAAGTTGTCCACGACCGTTGAAGAGGCAGCTCACATCCGTCTTTATGTTTTTGTAAGCGGTTACACTATTTCAATACTAACTTGTTTTTGTAAACATCGTAAAATGGTGTCAGGTATAGTGGCTGTGGAAACGGCAGATCTTGTGCATCTTTGGTATTGTATGTCGCCTATAAATGCCAACGGACTGGTATCTTGGGCAGGCAAGTCGACAACGCGCAGCATGGAGCGGGCGCGCGAGATCTTCGACCGCTTCGACACGTCGCGGGATGGCGCCATCGACCGCAGCGAGATGGGTGGACTCCTGCAGGCCCTCGGCGTCGAGCCCACCAACCAGAACATCGTCAGCGCCATCGTCGACATGGACGTCGGCCAGCGCGGGTCGGTGTCCTTTGCCGACTTTGCTGCCTACTACAAGACCAACTTTCTCGTAACTTCGCCCATGCCTTACGGGTGGCTTGGCTTCACGGCGCCTGTAGCCGCGCCAGCCGCTCAAGACGGTCGCGTCCAAGCACGTGGCGGGCATCGGTGAGGCCAAGCAGGCGTCGTACACGCTGCCGCCAAAGTCGTTTTGCTTTGGGAAGGCCCTTCAGCGCGACAAGGAGAACGCGGGCCAAGGTAGTCGTTCCATCTTGCAGTTGCGATTGAGCGTCTGTGGTTAGTACTGCGACAGCATGGCGACGCCGGCGACGAATACGGCGGCCGGCGCACGACCCACGTCCTGCGGCGCACGACAACGGCTGCGTACGTCGCCAGCCTTTTCTACTCGTAGAAGTAGGACTTATATGTTGCACAGGTCCTCCAAGGTCAACGAAGCGCGAAGCTTGTCGTCCTTGTCGGGGCCAACGACCAAGCCCAAAGCCGACGAGATCGACCACGGCATGGCTTTCATTCTGTCGCAGATCAAGACGCAGCTCAAGGCCATGGGCGCATCCGGGCTCCAGGGCCTCTCGCGCCGCTTCCGCCTCATGACAAGCAGCGGCGGGGGTATTCCGTGCAGCGCGTTCAAGAGCGCGCTCAAGGACCTCAAGCTTGACGTCTCGGAGAGGGACGCAAGGCGCCTCTTTGAGCTCTTTGACGTCGATCGCAGCGACAGCATCGACCTCGACGAGTTCCTCGCCGCGCTCTCTGAGCCCATGAACGCGGCGCGAATCGCGGTCGTCCGCGCCGCCTTTGATGCGTTGGACTATGACGGCAATGGCGTCCTCTCGGCGTCCGACATCAAGGGTCGATATGACACGAGCAAGCACCCGGACGTCCGGTCCGGTCTCAAGACGGACGTCGAAGTGCTCACCGAGTTCCTCAGTACGTTCTTTGACCCGTCGCGCGCCAAGACGAGTAGCGTCGTGACGTACGACGACTTTGCACAGTACTATCAACACCTGAGCAACGTCATCGACAATGACGAGGCCTTTGCGAATATGATCACCAACGCTTGGCGCGTCCGCGCGCCTGTCGCCGCCGCGTGGAGCTCGGTCCGGCCACGCACGGCCAAATCGACCATTTCGAATTCCGTGCAGCCGGTCCAACTTGCAAAAGGTCATTTTCCAAGGATGACATCGGCGTGGATGTCGACCGACTCGGCGAGCTCACTCCTCTACAACGGTAGCTCGTCTGCGCCAGCTACCGACCCGAGAGACGAGGACGGAGCCATTGACCTCGCCAGTCTCGACGCGGGGAAGAGAGGCGTGATTGCTCGGGTGAAAGCGCAGATGCAGGCGATCGGGGTCCCCGCGTATGCCTGCGTGCTGCGGCGCGCCAAGCGCACACCCACACTGTCGCTCGCCGAGTTTAAGAATACGATGAAGGACGCCGGGGTCATTCTCTCGGACAAGGACTGGCGCGTGCTCTTTGAGCTCTACGACCCCAACGACACGGGGAGAATGAGCTTTGCATCGCTCGTACAGCAGTTGCTCGTGGAGCGCCTGCCCGACGCCCGTTGCGCGATCGTGCGGCGAACGTTCCGCGCGTTGGACGCAGACAAGGCGCGAAGCTTCGTATATGAAAGCGTTGCTCATGCTCGGTGTGACTAGAACGGCAGTTTACCATACGGCGACTTCATCGCGCGCTTTGACCCGAGCAGCCACCCGGACGTCCGCTCCGGCAAGTGCTCAGAGGCCCAAATTCACACCGGCTTGCACGACGCGTTCGTGCTGCCGCCCTCGGGTCTCGCACCCTCTTGTCGCCTGCAGAGGTACTGAGACCGATGTAGGGCTTGTGACGCAGGCGGAATTTGAAGCCTACTACGAGATGGTCAGCAACACGCTCGACGACGACAGTGTCTTTGAAGCTACAGTGCGCGACGTGTGGCACACGCGCTTCGATGTCCTGCCGAACGACGATGACAAGGACGTCCGTGACATGGCGTCACTGCGCAGCGCAACGACGTCAATCAAGACGAATAAAGACCCGCTGCGCGTCTACGAGGCGAGCGTCAAGACGCAAAAGATCATGCAAACGGCCAAGTCGATTGCGAGTGCCGACGCGACGCGCATGCGCCGCGCGAGTCGACCGACCAAGAGCAGCATGGCGACCAAGAGTAAAGCGGCTTCGTCGGCGAGCCAGCGCAAGTCGTGGACGTAATCATCAAGACGCAAAATGCTTGTGGTTATCATGCGTGTGACAGCGTCCGTCCACTGGTCCTGTCGGTTCCGGACGCTTCGGAGGCACGGTACATCCATAGCTATAACTCATCTTGATGTGTCCAAGACAGGGCTAAACAAATCAAAACGCAGCCAACGTAATGCGATACCACTACAATAGGTGTAGCACTATCGCCTCCGTATCTCGCAGCGCTCTCAGTGCTTAGTTGGCGCTTCGCTCTCGCTTGATCTCTGTGCAGGCGGCGGTGTTGGCGCCATTTCGCTGCTTGGGCTACACTTGGTGAGAGGGGTAGAGGGGTGCACCTCGGACCGACAACCAATCGCTCAACTGATTCAGCGCGTCGGCGCGAAGCCCACGGGGCGACTTCACGAACGGCCACTTGCGCTGTTCCGACGAAGACACCCATGACGTGGCGTTACGAGAAGCGATTTTGGTTTGCTCACTAACCGGGCTGCGGTCGTGGTGTGGGACGCGCTGCAAGTTCCTGGCCCAACGACGCGCGGGGATCTTTCCGAGGTCGTCTTGCTAATGCACTGGTGGAGGCCAAGTGGCAACGACGCCGGTGTGTGCGATGTCCGAGTCAACATCTCTTGCAGTTGGCCATCTGGCATGCCTACCACCACCATCTGTGTCGCTGTCCAGCAGTAGGAACCATCTGTCAAAGCTCGAAAATGAATTGTTGGCGCATTTTGCATTTGGGATGGCGTCGTCGTCGGTGTTTTTGCAAAAGACGTATTCGATGCTGTCACAGAGCCCGCCGTCGGTGCTGTCCTGGTCATCGGCCGGCGACGCGTTCCTAGTCTATGACGTCAAGACGCTCGAGGGCAGCCTCCTGTCGCGCTACTTTAACCACAACAACTTTGCCTCGTTTTCGCGTCAACTGCGCTTCTACGGCTTCGAGAAGACCCGCTTCCGCCAGCGCAAGCGAGACGAGGCTCAGTTTAGCTTCCAGCATCCCCACTTTCGACGAGACGCGCCCGAGGCCATGAAGGCCATTCGGCGCAAGACCTACCACATCGCCGACGACGGCGTCTCCAAAAGCGAGGTTGACGATCTGCGCGTCACCATGGACCGCCTCGAGGTCCAACTCCAGGCGCTTGTCCAGCAAACGTCTGTGCTCGCGATGGTCATACAGTCGGCTTGCGCGCCGCCGCCGACAGTGCCGCCGCCGGTGTGCACAGTGTCGGACGAGAGCTACTACGATGAAGACCTCGCCACTGTCCTCTACGAGTTTAACCAGCCGTGATCGCCACGGAAATATCCCTTAATTTAGTCGATACAATTCGCTTCTTCCTAGTTCATGGAGGCATTTGACCATAGCGCGACGAAGGAGTGCTCCACTTTGCTGCGGCTAACAACCAAGGGACGTTGCGGCGGCCATGCTGGGAATCGCCTTGGGCCAACTGATGATGACTTCGCACATCGTCCATGTAACCGTTCCATCGTGTCTCCAGATTCGCCAAACAAATGCAAGGACCGGGGTGTTTTGATGCCGAATAGAGAGCTCAAAACGGAGCTCACCGAGACGATCGTGGCACATTGATCTGGTCAACACACTTACGTATGCGACCATCTTTTTGGCTCGCAATCAGAACGCTAACGCGCGTAAAAGGCTATATAGCAATGTGCGTGACTATTATTTCTCGCCGGCCATCCCCGACGTCAAAGTTGGGACACGGGACAGAGAGCGACGACGTCACAACGCACGAGCTTGCACACACCGCGACACCCGAGGGCAGCAGCGAGGCTCGACTGTATTTTTGCCTCGTCCATGTACCATACTTATAACACTTCGATGACGATTGCGATGGCGTCGTCCCGAGGTGCGAGCGTATTTATAGCCCTGCGCATATAGCCACTCAGTTCCACTGACTGAGTTCGGTGATGTGACCGCTTTTCGAGGTTGTGTGCCGGAACACCCACCCGCTTCCCGTATTCTCAGTGCAGAAATCGACCCGCCCGCCAACGACGCACTGATGCTGGGCTTAACGTCGCTGGCACCAAGCCGTCAACCCAAATTAAGCCTGCTTTCATATATTTTTTGATATGTGGTTTCTATGGCCGTGAAACTCGCGGCTAATTTTGGCGCTTACAAGGGTTCAAGACGGTTGCATCAGAGTCGATTTTGGCGCCATCCAGCAATGTCCAGCCGACGCCGCTCAAGCAATGTTGTCGTCAAGTCCAAGAGCCAGAGCCAGATCTACGCGATGCACCCAGGCGCTGGTCAAGGCCATACGCTGTATGCCAAGGCGAGCCTTCGCATTCAGCAGGTCTTGACCTTTGGCGCCTACGTGCTCGGTATCCTCGTCGTCGCGCTTGTGTGCATCGACGCGCTCTTCAACAACTGGGCCATCAACGACTTTGTCGGCAACGGCTACATGTACGCGACGGCGGTGGCCACGATCACAAACACTGGCCAACTCGCGAGTCTCTACGCCTTTCCCAAGGGCTGGAGCCTCCGCGATGTGTCCAACATTGGCGCCTGGAACATGAACTACACGCTCACGAACCTCGTGACGCCGAGCAACCCGAACATCTACCTCCTCGACGCTGGCACGTTTGTCATGGACTCGACATTTGCCACGTTTTGCACCATTTTCAAGAAGACGTACCCCGTGGACCTTGCGAACGGCAGCCCGCAGCTCGGTGTTGTCCAAGATGCAATCACGTTTCTGCGCGGAAATGCGTTCACACACGTGTCGACCGACGAAGGCTCGGTCAACCTCGCGAATGGCTCGATGAACCACCTCCAGCTCGCCGCTTTGGGGTATACCCCCACCCGCCAACAAACCGACATGCGCCTCACTGAGCCGATCCCGGTCAAGAACGTCTCGACGCCGCAAATGTTAAACGTCTCGTTTTACCGGTACCAGCCAAAGTGCTTTTGCACCGGGTGTGTCCCGATCGCGAGCTTTGGCTACGCGTCGTGCGAGCTCACGATGACTTACAACACGACCGCCAAGACGCTCAAAATCACCAACACGTCGCACGTCGAAGGCGCACTGTGGTCGAACGGGCTCATGCTCCAGCAAAGCGTCTTTAGCTCGGTCTCCAACTACCTCAAGTGCATTGCGCTGGTGTTTGCGCTCGGCGGCTACATTGCGAGCCGACGGACGGTGCAGTGGCAGGACGCCGATGTGCACTCGATCCAGTCGTTTCTGCACCGCGTCGTCAAGACGGTGCTGCCCGAGAAGTACCCGCACGTCTCCAAGGCGCTCCGCTTTGATATGTTTTGCTACAACTCGGACATCTTTGTGCTGCTGTATACGACCGGCGTCATCCTCGACATGGGCCGTGGCATCATGTTCATCCGCGAAGTCAACTGGTTCAACCAACTCAAGGCGGACCCGTGGATGTCGATCCAGACATTTGCGCTCAGTACGCGCTTGCTTTGGCTCAACTGTGCGTTTCTAAAGGTGCTCAAGTTCCTCGTCAACCTCGTGTCCAGCGCGAGCTACTGTGGCGAAAGCAAACTCATGGGCTTTTGCAATTTCACGAGCGTCACGTCCTTGTACCTCAGCGCCGTCCTTCTCTTTTACGTCCCTGCGTTCATCGAGTACAACAACGGCGTGCGGCAAGACCTCACGATGGCCGTGCAGAAGCTTGACGGCGTCTTTATCAACTTTTACAGCAGTTTTTACATCCGCGTCAGCGGTGCGATTGCTGGCGGTTTGATCTTGAACATCCTCCTGGTCGTGGCCATGGACCAGCTTCTCAACCGGTCGTTCTGGAAGCACTTGGCGACGAATTCGCTCGCGCGCCAAGCCATGTACAACTCGACGTCGATCCTCATGGACTACATCACCGAGATTG